GTCGCCCCCCCAGCCTGCAGGCACACAGCAACATGGTGCACATGGGTGAGACCCACCTCGCCTCTGTGCCCGCCAAGCACCCTACGTGCCGTGCTCCCAAGGCACCACGGCACCAAGATGCTCTTCTCACATACCTGGGGGGGGGCCACCATATCGCCTTTGCCCGTTGATCTGCACCAGGTTGATGCCGGTTTCTTTTGCCCAGGCAAGCAGGGCCATCTTATTGGCCTGGTTGATGCTGTTGGTCCACGTCTGAGGAGGGAGATGACGTTGGCGCTTGTCTGGGCAAAGAGTTTCCAACCTCCCAACTGGGGGCATCCCAGCCCCATGAAGCAAATACAAGGCCTAGCACCAGCCAGCACGTAGAGGAGCAAACGCTGAACCCCTCTGCCCTCAGGAAACCTGAGGAGCCTCTCAACACTTGCACATCCAAAGGACTACCCTGCCCACTGTACAAGCCTGCTCCACGTAACTAAGTCCAGCAACTTTGACAGAGCACAAGGACACCAACGGTTCCCCTATGGATGTCTGCAAGGGCTTTGAAAGCCAAGACACAGGCGGCAGCTGGTTGGCGCTGCAAGAGGGGGCTGGAGCACAGAACCAAGGTGACCCATCACATCACGAGATCCCAGGCAGGCTGGGACCCCAAGGCAGCCAACTCTCTTCTACCAGCATCTCCTCAGGCATCAAGGAGGGTCTGGAGATACCATCCACGTGGCAACATCATCAGGTTTTAGCTCATTAAGTACTCCGAAGTCTCATTAGGGCCTCCGAAACTGTACGCTGAGTGGGATTAACCCTAACTCAGGCTAAAATGCAGTTTGGCTGCACCTTCACCTCTCCACCTCCAGGTGCATCACCAGGTGGTGGCACCTTTCTATCTCCAAGGGGTTTCATCTTTCCTGAAGACCAGAAAACACCTTTGGATGGAGGTAGGGACCCATATAGGGGAAATCTCTGCTGAGAGGGCGCAGAAAGGCCAGCCACGCTCACCACAAAGCCTCCTGCCATGGCTCTGCAGCTCCCAAGGCTGGGTCCCAGCACAGGAGACCTCCTGGCCCGCCGGTACGGGGGGGTGCGGGGCGGGGAGGTGCCAGGGCTCTCGGGAGAGGCAGGACCCGGCTCTTCCCCAGCGGAGCCCGTCTGAGCCCGCAGCCCCCGCCGATTAGGCGCTAACAGGGGCCA